TAATTTCGGAATTGTTAATGCTAAACAGCGATAACACAATAAACGCTAATTGAATATTAATACTAAGTTGCTAAACGCGAAAAAAAGATTTGCACAATTACAGAAGTTAAATGAGCCTCTTCTATCGAAATAGTAAACAGGCGAATACGGCACGTGTAGCTCTTTATTTAAGAGTCATCTACCAGTAGTATCGAGGGGCTATTCTGGCTCCACGTTGACTGGTGGGCGAGCTCAGGGGGCTCTGCCTGAAAAAATATTGCTTGCATCTGTCCTAGCAAGCGTAGTGCTTCGCAGTATCTGCCATCGGATCGAAATCGCTTCATTCGCGAGTAGATTCATTCGCGGAGCAACTGCTCTTGAGTTCTAGGTCCCCTTCGAAGGCGCTCGGGCAGCTGTTAGTAAATCCCACCCCTCCTGGCTGACCCTTTGCTCGCCCACCGGTCCTGGTGAAACTGGAAAGGCCTCAGGGCCACCAGTAATCGTGCACTCATAAAAAAAAAACTACTCGACTTTGTGTTTTTAACAAGTATATTATTAAGAAGATCGTGAAGATTTTTGTTTTTTATTACATTTCAGCAATACCGTTTTCACTGACCACGTTTATATTTTATATGATATTAATTCAATTGCTTTCCTTTGAATTGTAAATCACTTTATAACGTAAAAATTTAAAAGACTGCCCAGTTTTATTTAGCAGTGGGCATGTCGTAGCTGTTAAGGGCAATTTATCAATAAGACGATTTCAAATTGCCGTCAAAGATAATTCCGCATTGCACAGATTAAGAAAGCCAAATGTAGCAACGTTAATATTGAATGATACAAAACAGGTTTACGTGTACGATTTGAACGTGAACAAGTACAGGCCTATATGCGTCCAAGCTGTTGTCTCCAAAAAGACTAAGAAGTTGACAAGAATCGATTTCAACACGCGTTTGCCGGTGATCGTATGTGGCGACACAAAGTACGTATCAATGTTCATATATTTTACCTAAGACTTTTTTTTCTATTGCTCCGATCGGTGGACGAGCTCAGAGCCCACCTGGTGTTAAGTGGTTACTGGAGCCCATAGGCATCTACAACGTAAATGCGCTACCCACCTTGAGATATGTTTTAAGGTCTCAAGTATAGTTACAAAGGTTGCCCCACCCTTCAAACCGAAACGCGTTACTGCTTCACGGCACAAATAGGCATGTTATATGTGCATAGAGGCAGGCCGGGTGCAGAGTGCAGGCCGTTATATGTGCATAGAAACTATTACCAGCCGACTGCATAATGCCAGGCCTTGTATTGCCTTAGATATATTGGTGAAGTTTTCTCGGTACGTCTCGTTTCCATCTTTACGTTAAGTCGATTAAGTAGTTAGAATATGTCATTTCAACTGACATTAGAGGCGCTTTTATTAAAATTCATTTCAAATATCCTCAACGGCACCTTAACAATTCTTCTGTAATGGCTGAGTAAATATTATTAATTATTTAAAAACGTACACACATACATAGTATGTACAAGAACACCTGAGTTAATATGTTATAACACTTTATAACTGTATCTCTAAGTAGATACGAAATATCAAGCTGAATAATAGCCAGGCCTTACTAACAGAATTTCTATGGATTAAGCCCTACCCTAGAAAACGAAAGATAGCCAAAACAAACAATGTAAGTGACACATATGCGAATGGAATGAAACATACGGGCTTGGAGTCGATCGTTAGCGATAGTCATCGTATGATTGCTAAAATCAATAGTTCAGTAACTTTTGAACGTGTTAAAATCATGTATATATTGGGACATTTCAATGTTCCCAAATTCTCTTTTTTCCTATACTTAGATATCGCTATTTTTATTGCTCTTACAGGCAGCCGAGCATACCGCCCACCTGACGGTAAGTGGCTACCGTCGCTCATGGATGTCAATAAAGCCAGGGGAAGCCAAGCCGCTTCCTACCATTTAATACTCTCCAAAAGCCTCGTTTCAAGAAGGACATCTCATTTTTTATTTATTTATTGCTTAGATGTGTAGACGAGCTCACAGCCCACCTGGTGTTATCTCGTTACTGGAGCCCATAGACATCTACAACGTAAATGCGCCACACATCTTGGGATATAAGTTCTAAGGTCTCAGTATGGTTACAACGGCTGCCCCACCCTTCAAACCGAAACGCATTCCTGCTTCACGGCAGAAATAGGCGGGGCGGTGGTACCTTGCCCGTGCGGACTCACAAGCTACCACCAGTCATTACGCAAATTATAATTTTGCGGGTTTGATTTTTATTACAAAATGTTATTCCTTCACCGTGAAAGTCAATCGTGAACATTTGTTACGTAGTATTTCATTAGAAAAATTGGTACCCGCCTGCGGGATTCGAACACCGGTGCATCGCTCGATACGAATGCACCGGACGTCTTATCCATTAGGCCACGACGAATTCAACTCTCATAAGGACGGATGGGCTAAATTTATGCGGATCGATTAAATTTAGGCAGCTCTAAAGTTTCTACATTAGTTTCGTATTGGACTTACGTATACGTATTAGCAAATTTTTGAATATAGCTTCAATCTCAAATGGCGACTGATAGACCTTCGCCGAGACGCTATCATTCTTCCACAAGTTCTTTTTCTATCTTATCCTGTCCTTCTTCTATTCTGTTGCAATTACGAATTTTCTTTTTGTCTCAACGCTTTCATTCTCTCTGCGCTGCATGACTTATCACTGAAATTCGTATAGTGGTTTGCCCAACTCACCGGTCCCCACATTTTATTAAAAACTCTTTTACGGGCAAGACTATTCATCTGTGGAAGATAACCAACCATGTGAGATAAGGCAGACTCAGTCGTTAACTGTATTAAAAAATAAGCTGAAATTCAATTTATTACAACAGCTCAGTTTGTTTGCATAAATTCGAGTGATTCTGTTTACCATTATTTTATGTTTTCGACTATTTATATTTTCGTATTCTATTTTGTTGCTTTGGTTTGTATGTATTGTATAATATGTGTGTTTTAATATATGTATGTAACTAAGTATGTATTTAAAATATTCAATCGTCTGTATTTTATAATATTTGAATTTATTATCTATTATAATAATACATAATATAATGTGTAAATAATGTGTACGTGTAACAATATAAACAGTTAACTACCGCTGTGTTCTTGAGAAGGGTTTTTTTCTCTTAACCAGTTGTGTGAAAGATATCGCTTTAAGCGATAATACTACACATTGTACATCCAGTATTTTATTTTATTTCGTGTTAGTCATTTTAATAGTGTCTGTTAATCTACCATTAAGAACAGAAATAATAACAATAAGGTAGTCGCAAGAAATTAAGAGGTAACAATACTGTAATTTCACACAACGTTTCAACGCCTCCATAGCTCAGGGGTTAGAGCACTGGTCTTGTAAACCAGGGGTCGAGAGTTCAAATCTCTCTGGGGGCATTTCGTGATCATTGCTTTTGAATATGTTTTTTTTTTTCAGAGGAACATGTCACGTATTAAAGCTATCACCAAATTTGAGGGTAATGTGCAAGCCACCGAAAAAAGCTCAAGGAGTCGACCAAAGGACCTTGCAGGTTATTTATTCATTTAGCGATAACAATAACGACCTAGTTGTAAATTTGTATTTATAAATTAGTTTTTTTATTTGTGAACCCACAAAATAATTACTTTAAGTTTTCATAAAAAAACCGAATTCTATATAATATGTTGTCGTTGTGAAACTAGGGAGTGTTGTATTTTGTTTTTTTTGTTTAACAAAATATTGCTTCGCACTAATTTGATAATGGTGTCCGATGATACCCGTCTTAAAGTCACGCAACGAAAATAATTAGCTCAGAATCACCCTAGTGACTATTTTGTGACTTGTATTAACCTTTCCTATACGTAAGCTATCCTAGACATTTCCCTTAGAATAGGGGACATGATGGTGGACCTACCAAAAGGGAACCAGAACCCTTGAAATGGAAAATCTATCAAACTTGGATTTATTGCATAAAAATAGATTATATAAAGGCGTTATAGTCAGTTGTATATTTATTTATATAATTTATTGGTCATATACTGTTTGACTTTTTTTTCCTACCTATGCTGATAGCCTTGAGAGGCTATTTCAGCTTCTCCTTGATGTGTAAGTGCTCACGTGGCTCAAACCAGGAGTGTTGCTAACACTGGCTCTAGCAAGAGAAGAGCAGTGCTTCGCAGAATCTACCACCGGATCGGAAACGCGACCCACTGAGAAGATCTGGCGAGAAACTCAGTGTGTTTATGGGCTAATTTACTCGTCGAGCCCTCGCAAGCGATGGGTTCGGCGAGAACGGTAGCCGGGTGTTTGCTAGGGTGACAACGTATTTATATACTTAGGGTTGCCGCAAAAAGCGATTGAAACATTCAGCTGAGTGTGGGAAAAAGCACTCAACCGGCATTTATTATTGAACGCGCGGATTATAAGCCCACACTTCATTCTGACAATTTTGGATAATATGAATTGTCCGGATCCCATTTAGAGCAGCTCTAAGGTTACATACAACCAGTAAAGTCGTAAAGCGTCGTTAATGAGTATAATATTTATTTATTTATTATTAACGTTATATACTAGAAAGTATAAAGGCGGACTTAATGCCATAAAAATTCTCTGACAGTCTACCTTAGGGGCATGTAGAGATGAACCTTGGCAGGTGTAGTGTGATAGTGAAATTACTTAAACATATATGTATATATAATATAGAATACATAATATTTATAGATACAAATACTCGTACTTAAATAGATACATATAAAAATATATATAAATAAATATTATCATATTAATATATATATGTAACTATATTATAATAATTTCAATATATATTTCAGATTATGAAATTGGATAAGTTACTCAGTTTGGTTCGTGATCCGCCTTATCAAACGGGAGTTGTTGACGAAAAGTTTGACGACGACTAAAACACTTCCTTGTAGTTTTTATCGTATTGATTAAATAAATAAAATACAAAATAATGCTGATTTATTTTATTTGAACAGTTTTAACTACACAGAATGTCCTAACTTAACCCTTTGAATTCGTTTCCATTCAACAACCGTGGATTGTCTCGGATTTTATACATTCGATATATTTTTGATCAGCACAGACAATAACAGATTTCTGTGTGTGTTGTTTCCACGTGGCTTTGCAAACTTTTCGAAATCTCTTCGCTTTTCAGCGACTGCATAAGTAATACGCTCTTAGGACAAACTTCACCTAAAATATTACATCCATAAATTCTAATAAACACATATTTTCTTTCTCTTCTTCATTCTAAACATATTTTTATTTAAACACGTATTAATCTACTTTAGGTAAATATATTTGATGGTTTATCTTTCTTATTTTTTAAAATACTGATCATGCAATCTCTAAACATTGAGTTTTTCTACGAACCTACTTTAGTTGAATCTACTTTCGACGAATATTGTATAAGAGTATTTAAAATGCTCAATACTGCTATTATAGAATAAATTCTTTAGATTGTCGCACATTTTAATTCTATCAACGACTATTCTAGAATGTCCTACTCGACAAAGAAGATAGTTCCAAGTAAAAAAGTCATAAAGATATCACAAAATAAGTTACATAAAAATATATATTAGCTTAACTCTAAAGTAAATGCTTCAATAAATCGAAATATATATTAATCACAAACATTTTCCACTTCGCCACAAATTCTAAGATCACAACATACATTCATTCTTAGCGTCACAAATTGAGACCGTTTCAAACGTCCTTTTTTTTTTTTTTAATACCTTAAAAACTATTTTAATTGAAATATTCAATAGAGTTTTTGTGCTAACAGGATATGACAGAGAGAGGCGCTAAGGAGGCACAACCTACTTATTGATCATTTCAATCAAATAGCACGTTAAGCGTTTACAACACCACTTATATTTAATTAAAAGGCCAACCTCATTTTCCGATCTAGAGTAACTTAAAAAAAAACATACGTCAACAGGGTCTTACATTTAAATAAATTTAGATTTTACAAACATACAAAATTATCATAGGAAAAAATATATAAGCGTTTCAATATCACAGGGACGTAATTAAAACATGAAGACATTACGATACATAAAATTAATGTCTTATTTTTAAAAAGAATATGAAATGCCAATGTGCTTTTAGAAACGTAACACTGTTGTTTTCTCTCTCATAAATGCAATACATTAAATATCCCCCTAATCGCCAGTTCAGATATTTTCCCGAACTTACTGTTCTATCTAATAAATTGTAATAGCGCGACATCTAAACAGTTCCATTTAAAAATAAGACAGTTAGATCGACTACAATTTAAGGATAGAGAAGTTTCGCTCCAAGTTTTTTATATTTTTCGACAGCATTCGGCCCCAATTTTAGGTCCAGGAAAGCGTGTGCATCGTTAGGAGCCGGTGCTTGTACGTAGGCGAAGGGTATCTGAAAATAAATTTAAATAATTTATATAACATTTTAATGATTGTCATTAATTCAATTCAATTTTCCCCCAAGCCGACTGGTCCTCGTGGGGGATAAAGACCACAACCCTCCAACAACACAATAAAATAACTACAAAGAAACAAAAATATACATCGCAGTTGGAGGAGACCTTTGTCAATTGACATACAGATCTACAGAAACATAAGTAAAATCCAAATAAGAGACTGGGTTATTTAATTATAATATGGATCTGAATAAAAGGCTATTCATACATTCATTCATTCAATAACCTACCTATTAGTTATTTAATGCCACATTGTAAATTAAAAGCATGGGTACCTGGGCAAGTGGATGCAAATGGCGTTCCGGAAACTCCCTTTGGTGCGCCAGGACCCAGTCGGCAGGCCACATGGTACCGTTTTGTGATGTGAACGGTAGAATCAATACATTCGCTTTGTTAATCGCCGAGAGTGAAACGCTGTAATAATGCCCTTTTGTGGCGCGTTCCCACACAAAACCGTCAGCGTCAGTCCCACCTCGTTGCAAATACGGTACGCGATCTATGTCTGAAGAGTAAATCCCCAACTCAACATGATCTGCCCAGACTAGGACATTTCCACTGGAAAATTAAAAAAGTATTATTACTTGGAACTGGTTCAATCTAAGGTTTTAATCACTTTAATACATTAGAAAGAAGATCTCAACCTAGAAAAAAATCCGAAAAATAAGCAGAATAATTTAAAAAGGTTTTATGCGTGGATGCAGATTTCTCCCTTGTTGGAATAGACAGGTATTTACAATGACGACACTTACTCTACCACAGCTCCAAGCAGAGATGATGTTTCCAGCCAGCATCTGACACCAGCTTGCTCCAGTACATCCAGAACGTGTTTCGTAACTTCACGCATATTTCGGAGACAGCAAGGTGGAGTGTGTTTATCCGAGTAGACGTAGGAAGGTTTGCCTTTGACTGTTGGAAAACATCTCTGCAAATAAATAAAAAGTTTAATACTAGAAGGGATTGTTAGATCGATGAACTTTTATTCTTTACCAACTTATAACCAAACTTTAAAAATATACATTGTGTTTCTGTGCTAAGTATTACAATTACCGGTGTATCTTTAGCACATCCATATTCGTGTACTGTTCCATCTTCTCCGACAACAATCTTCATTTTATATTTCTTATAGAATGTCGACCTCTGCTCTTTCACTTTTTCAGCAACTATTTGTTTTTCTGGCAATGTTTTTAAGACTTTACGTCCCGGTCCAAATGTATGATAGAGTACTTGTACCTGAAAAAATATTTGTTTAATTAAAAGTAATTTTATAATTCTTGAGATATACTTTAATAGCTTAGAGAATCTTATTATTTACCTTGGCCATCTTCACATATGTCTGCAAATATAATGATTCTGGAAACGGCAATGCAATCGGATCTGGCACCTTTGACAGATATTCAGTTTTAATTAATAGCGCATGTGGACCTGTGACGGCGTCGCAAATCGTTCCTGTTGGATCCTTAGTATACTTCAGCGTCCAGTCTCGGTAGTTCCAGCAGATTCTTTGACATTTGATCTCATGGAAACCGATTCCAATTGCTATGACATGTAAAGGATTGGCGTTGGCTTCAATCACAGCTTGATGCAAGACCCGTGGTTTTACCCGAACTGAATCGGGCACAAAAAGTGTATACTCTGTTTCGATATTAAACGGACTCAATGGACTCGAGGTGTACGGGCAGGAATCGATTTCGTAGTCGAGAGACAAGATCTTTACGTTTCTATAAGAGCTGTTGGTAGGGGGAAGCTCGATCGGGGGGTACGGACTCCTCTCGCACACGACCAGCACCTGCATATCCGGGAAGGCCGATACGAACGACAGGACGCTGTCGGCAACATCATTATCCGCTTCCTCGAACTGCCGAAACACAACAGTTACCAACGACGACAAAGGCTTTTTCTGCCAGCCCGATTCAGTATCTGTTGCTCTTTTGTTATACGTCACTTCTGTTAGCAGGGAAAATAGGTAGACGCACAGTAACACCAAAACAGCGATCGAGACGAAAAATTGCAGCTTAAATCCTTGCTGACCGCGTAATAAACGGTGGAAAACGATTTTTCTGAACATTGTACGTTTACAAGCACTGCTCGATTCGTAATTTCGCTGTTGGTAAGTCACAACTTATACAATTCATTGGACTGCTCTGGATAGCAGATATCAATCGCAACAAAGGAACAAAAATGCAACAGGAAATCCGCGTGAAGTTATTGATTGATGTTTATATTGATTGCAATTCCTGTGCGCAGCTGTATAGTGCGCACTAAGGCTTGCGCAACGTGCAACATGCAGAATGCAAGCTGAATTCAGCTTGTATTATTAATTGGAAAGGCGAAAATTAAGAATTGATTTCCTTCTGGCTAAATTTTTCCAGATCAGTGTGCTTAGTGCGAGTTTTTTAACGTTCTCGATAGCGTAAAAGTTAAGTTAAATTTGTATATGGAGTTGGAACGTTTGCCTATGTTTGCCGCTAGGCGCACTGTTCCAGGTGCATACAAATTTCAGCTAACTTTTACGCTATCGAGAACGTTAAAAAACTCGCCCTAAGCACACAAATCCGATTAACGTAGCGAACGTTTTTTTTTACATTGTATTTATTTTTGGCTAAAAATATTTTTTAGCATTTATTTTAGATTAAATGACTAGATTCAGAATAAAATATCAAATAATAAAATATTAACTAACTAGACAAAACTGTTCGTAATAAAAAAACGTTATTACTATAGGCGTGTTTATACAAAAGTGAAAAAAGTTATTAGTTGAAGTTCGTTTAATTCTCGCTCAAACACCAATTTATAAAACAATAATATAACTCTTAATAAGATCACAAAGGACTTCCACGCTCAACAAAGGAATAATTAGATTTAAGGATTTAAAATAAGAATCAGATCATTTTTTTTTATTGCCTCTGTAGGCAGACGAGCATACGGCCCACCTGATGGTGAGTGGTCACCGTCGCCCATGGACTTCAGCAATGCCAGGGGCAGAGCCAAGCCGCTGCCTACCGCTTAATACTCTCCACAAGCCTCGTTTGAAGAAGGACATGTCATAACGCTCGGGAAACACCGTGGAGGGGAGCTCATTCCATAACCGGATGGTACGTGGCAAAAAAGATATCTGGAAACGCACTGTGGATGACCGCAGTGGCTCCAGGTAGTATGGATGAACTCTACTCCGGTGGCGGGCGGTGTGATGATAAAAACGAGACGTTGGTATCATCTCGAACAATTCCTCAGAGCACTCCCCATGGAACATGCGGTACAAAATACAGAGGGAACCGAAGTCCCTCCGCAGACCTAGAGGCTCATTTGTAGCAATAGTCAATTAACTCCTTCACAAAAGGAAGACCAAGAGCGTTTTATCCATCATCTATATACTTAGTCTGGCCATAAATACTGTTACAAAGGAAAACAAAAAAAAAACTATGGCAAATAGCATTTATTACTTTTACAGTGTGTTAGTTTAATACATAACTATAAAACAATTTAAAGTATAAAAAGCTAATTCGAAGTGGTCTGCATTAGCTGCAATACAGTCCTTTAAACGTTGAGGCCAGTTATCAATAGAAGCACGCACCCTTTCCATGGGAAATTTTTTCACTGCCAATCGTACGGATTGTTTTAGGGACTCCAAATTATAATGGCGTTTAGAGCAAGCCGTACTCCCTAAAACTGACCATAAATCATAATCCAGCGGATTAAGATCGGGACTAGACGGCGGCCAGTCTTCAGCTCTGATGAAGTCCGAAACGTTCGTTTCTAACCAAGACTGCGTAGACCGAGCTTTATGACCTGGCGCTGAATCTTGCTGGAAGGACCATTCTTACAAAACAAAACTCAATGAGCAATCATATTATAAAAATGACAGATTCCAAATTCAAATGTAATATTTTGTTTATTTTTAAAAGGTAAATAAAAATAACAATTTTCCGGACAGATTCCTTTTGTTTGTTATAAGTTTATTTTATACAAAAGCTTAGATCTTTTATTTATCGATTGAGGCACTACGAAGTCTGCCGGGTCAGCTAGTAAGAAATATATTCTTAATTGTTTGATTTAATTTGTCAAATTTTATTTTGAAAACTAGATCAAAGGACCAGCATTAACAGTTCTCTTCCTTATGGTCTCATCTCAAAGGCTTACACAAGATAATAGAGCAGTCGTACCGTATTAGAAATACGGTACCACATCGAACGCATACTAGTCATTCAAGCCTCTTTGATTAGTCTGCAGCGCTGGTGATGAGAGTGTGTGCTGATTCTCGGATAGTAGTAGAGTCACAAAGCACATCTTATAATCTGAAAAGCACTTTGGAATGCGGAAACACGGCAGGCAATAACTATCATATAAATTTACATTTTAACGTCAGATTAAGTGTGACATCAATTCATGTAATTGAAAGTCCGAGGGAAATCCGGTATAAGTTTGAACCTAAGAAGGAACGATGAAGTAAATGTAAAAAGTGGTGAGGATGAACCTCGTCACCAGTGTCAAGCCTTCAACTTTTTTTAGAGACCAGAAAATCAAGACTTCGAAGAAAATCAAATTCCATTCCTCATTGCATTAGCCATCAGAAAGGACATAAAGATGCTCTCGCCCGTAACGATCGCCATGACTGTGATGCTGTTATTCGCCTTGAAATTTTAAATAGAGTTTCAATAGAATTCCATCAAGGCTGTCCCACTAGTAATATAATACAATACTAGAACACGTGAATACTTCTCTTAAATATTGGCAGGATTGTAGTACCTAATCGTGGAGTTTTAATACGTCCTACGAAAACGGACATATTATTTGTAAATTATAATTTGCCCACCACCCTGCCTATTTCTGCTCTAAAGCAGTAATGCGTTTCGGTTTGAAGGGTGGGGCAGCCGTTGTAACTATACTTGAGACCTTAGTACTTATATCTCAAAGTGGGTGGCGCATTTACGTCGTAGATGTCTATGGGCTCCAGTAACCACTCAACACCAGGTGGACTATGAGCTCGTCCTCCCATCTAAGCAATTAAAAAAAAAAACTTTTCATAAAACGCCCAGCACGCCGGGCATTTGATCCTGTAGGTCACGATTATTTCAATAGTCGCGACTCCTAAAAACCACGTCCTAGTGGTGTAATTTTGTTGATTCAAATATCTTTTAAGTTTTCTAAGTGTCGTTAAGTGTCTTTTAAATGTCCGGAGTTTCTGAACGTAATATTATATTTTACCTGTGATGGAAATCCAATCTTTCATTCGACCTGTCTGATTATCTCTGCTTTGCCTTTGACGCTTGTTATCATTCATTCATTTCAGATTTACTCGTCAAGGCATATGTAAATTTTTAATAAATTTTAATTTACAAATCGTCAATTATGGAAGATACTAAAGATTTTGAACCACTAGAACCTTCGTTGAAAAATGTTATCGATCAAAAGTCGTTAAGGTGGATTTTCGTTGGAGGGAAAGGCGGAGTTGGGAAAACTACGTGCAGGTATTTAAACCACGTAATTGTAGATATCCTAAAATTATTTATTTAACTAATTTGTTTTTTTTGTAATTTAGTTGCAGTCTCGCAGTTCAGCTGTCGAAAGTTCGCGAATCTGTGTTAATCATATCAACTGATCCTGCCCACAATATCTCTGATGCATTCGACCAGAAATTTTCTAAAGTACGTTTAATATTTATCGTATTGTTTTAAGCAATTAAGAAGTAATAACGTAGGTTAGTTTTTCATAAATTTAATTTATCAATAAACTGTTAATGGAGATTGCGAAACCGTAAGTTGTTTAGTACATATAACCCTGATAAACAAAACAATCTAATCTATGTGCAACGATATAGCTTAGACAAATAATTAGTGAATTGTGCATTGGAATTTCTTGAATATTTAACTTCAATTTCCCCGCTCAATTGTTACAATTCAGTTTAATGTGAAATTTTGACTAATATTTTGAATAGGACAACTTAGTATTTTTTTTCCACAAAAGTTGTTTTCTGTAATAAGGAATTCAGAGACCACATCCAATATCATCAAAATAATAAATAATTGTTAACTCTATACTATTTCAGGTACCAACAAAGGTTAAAGGGTTTGACAACCTATTCGCTATGGAGATTGATCCGAATGTTGGATTAACAGAGCTGCCTGAAGAATATTTTGAAGGAGAATCTGAGGCTATGAGATTGGGCAAGGGTGTCATGCAAGAGATTGTTGGAGCTTTTCCTGGTATTGATGAGGCTATGAGCTATGCTGAGGTATAGTTATGTATTATTAAATTTTGGCATTCATATTACATTATTACAATATGAAGCATTATTATGAGGTATTCAATAGTTATATATGTATTGTTAAATTCCAACATACAGTCTCCTCCCACTTTGTGAATTTCCTTGCTGTATTATTTATATAACCAAAATAATGGTTAATCAATTTAAAATAGAACTGTTAATCTAAAGAAGATTCCAATTTAATTCCAATATAATAATATATTATATTATCTCTTTCACATTATGGTAAATGCTGTTCCATGCATCATATAACGACAAAGACAAACTAAGTAGCTACTTAAAGAACTTATGTTATTTCTGCCATGTTCAGAAATGCAATGGAAAGTTTGACAAATATATCAAAGGTGGCCTCATTCACTTAGTAGTGACTGTGAACATCAATAACTGCATAATCCATAACGTGATGACTGTTCGTAAATAAAATTAACAGTTAAGTCAAGCAAGTATCGGCAACACACAATAAAGCTACTAAAGAATGTGTTTAAATAAAACTTTTCGAAAATTTTCAGGTGATGAAACTAGTAAAAGGCATGAACTTTAGTGCTGTAGTGTTCGATACTGCACCGACTGGACATACTCTCAGACTTCTATCATTCCCGCAAGTTGTAGAACGAGGTCTCGGCAAGCTGATGCGTTTGAAGTCAAAGGTACTTACTTATCTCAGATATTTGTGTGCCACATTTCATATACATCTGAGACTACCATAATAGTTAACTATTTATACCATAAAAATTATAAAATCTATACTAATAATATATAAATCTACTGTGGTTTTTAGGGATGTTCCGTTATAACTACTGTACCATGAATCTGATTTGAAACTTGGTATTCATGTAGAACAGTGATTCTCAACCACTGTTCCGTGGCACTTTTGTGTGCCGCCAAATTTCAAAACTGTGCCGCCAAATTTTGCGAATATATAATAATGTTAATATTGTTAAATTATATCATTTTAAAAGAAAAATATTTTAAACATGAATATATATTAAATCCACAAAAAAAAATTATAGTATATTATAGTTTATTTCGTATATTAAAATTTTTTGATAAACTATTTAAGCAGTGTGTTGGAGTAAGTAAATAATTTTTATCTTTTTTTTTGTGTGCCGCCAAATTTTGAAATCGTTAAATATGTGCCGCAACAAAAAAAGGTTGAGAATCACTGATGTAGAAAATACGTGTACTTAATGGATAGGCTAATATTTATATGAATGTTGGGACTCCCTACACCAGTTGCGGGGCGTGAGAATGTTTGTGGGGGTGAGAAATAATAATGTTAATTTTAAATGACCAGCGAAGCGGACGGTTACAGGTAGTGTACTATAAAAACTAGTAACTAGTTCAAAACCAAATAGTTATCTACAAATTCATGATTTTAAAAATGTATTGTTCAATATAACATTACATTTTAATTGGAATTTGATTATAGAAAATTTAAAGTGAAAAACTTTCGACTGACTTTTTTTTACCACTTTTTTCCACCTTTATATTTAAACTTCATTTGAATTTAATTTTTTTTTTAATAAGAGCTGACTCATTTTCTAAATATAATTGTTGATTTTAAAAATAATATCACCAATTTCAGCATGTCTCATCAAAAAATTTCTTTATAATACTTTACTATGTAGGTACTAATGTTTTATCTAATATTTTCAGGTTGCCCCCTTCATCAATCAAATTGCGTCACTGTTTGGACTAGCAGATTTCAACTCGGACATGTTCAGCAACAAAATGGATGAGATGTTATCAGTTATCAGACAAGTGAATGCACAGTTCAAAGACCCGAATCAAACTACATTTGTGTGTGTTTGTATCGCCGAGTTCCTATCGCTTTACGAAACCGAACGTTTAGTTCAAGAATTAACGCGATGTGGAATCGATACACATAATATTATAGTTAATCAGTTGCTGCTTCGTTCATCTGCTCCTTGTGAACTATGTGCAGCCAGGCATAAGGTCCAAGAAAAATATCTGGAGCAAATTGCAGACTTGTATGAAGACTTCCATGTGACAAAGCTACCGTTGCTGGAAAAGGAAGTCCGAGGAGCTTCCGCTGTAAATGCATTTTCAGAACTTCTCTTGAAGCCTTACGATCCTCCTACATCCTCCACGTGAAACCTATACTTTCCATCACCAATGTTAAGGACGTTATTATTACGAACATGTTCTATTTGATGGTGATGTTAAATACAAATTATTGGTATGGGTGCTTTCACATTACAAGTGAAATATAGCTGTGACTATTTTTTTCAACTTTTCGGCTTCACAGAAATAAGATATTTAAATGTTTCAGCATTGTCAACTATTTATAAATGTATAGTATTCAGAAATAAAATTTAATATATGTATTATTAGAATTGTGTTTTAAATTAAGACTCCCATTAGTTTCATTAAATTTATTAAAATTAGTAAACTTTAAACAACTGAGTAAAAATAATACGAGAATTTTAAATTTACTAATCTAATTAATACCAAATTTAACATCTTACAGTAAAAGTGCAGCACGTAGCATCTTGCTTTTCATTACACTTGAAATAAGCAATTATTTAAAAATCTACATTCATTTCACTCTAATGTGGACTAAAATTTTTATTAATTTTAACCTACAATTTTTTAAGACACAAAATTTCAATGAAATAAACTATATCGCGTAACAAGCGCTTTAAGACGTTTTGGCAGTGTTTGTTCGGTTTTTATATGTATCCAAAATTATTAAATGGATCCACACCTACATATTATTATGCCTACATTTTCTTTTATTTAACTTTCAATTTGAACAATATCTTAATTATATATTATATATCAACAGTAACGATTTTCTTTAACTTTTTGCATATATTATTATGATAAACAGTAACATAGCAAATTCAATATATCTAAAAATTTTACAAATCTACAACGAATACATTAAGAAATAAGAACATTAAACAGTCTATTAATTAAACAATGTTGGAACATCAAAACTCACAAACTTGTATACAACGTATGAATAAAAAAACGCCATAACAAAACACCATTTATAATGTCTTCAAGACATAAACCTTAATGCTGAAATCTCATAATCTCATAAATCTATATATATAAAAGAAAGTCGTGTTAGTTACACTATTTATAACTCAGGAACGGCTGAACTGATTTGGCCGAAAATTGGTGAGGAGGTAGCTTAAAACCAGGAGAAGGACATAGGATACTTTTTATCACGTTCCCGTGGGACGCGACATGAAACGTGGTATAACAAAACGCAACTGATATGGAATAACAAAACGCAACTGACAGCTAAATATATTCTATGGTTAATTAAGTAGAATTTTGAAGTTGACCGGTTGATGTGTTTGAAACAAACCGTTTGGCGGAACAAAGTTCGCCGGTCCACTAGTTATAAATATAAATAAAAACAGTTCGTGAATTAATCTAATAATGAAATCTCAGAACATTTCATTCGATTATAAACAAGGCGAAACTATAATACAAGACCTTAAGTAATAATACATACTTTTGTTTTTATTGCTTTGATGGGTGGACGAGCTCACGGCCTACCTGGTGTTAAGTGGTTACCGGAGCCAATAGACATCTACAAGGTAAATGCTGCCACCAACCTTGAGATATGAGTTCTAAGGTCTCAGTTTTTATAGTACTGACTCAGTGAGATAGTCTTAACAGACTAATCATTTTCGGTCCCGCTTTATCGTAAAATTCTTATATAATTCAAGCCAATCCAAACTCGGTACAGCTTTGAACCCACCAACAAATAATAAATAAGGCACTATAACAATTGCTTGCATCCGTACTGTAATACTATTACATTTTCTTACACATTCTATGAAACCGTGTTCCGAGATTCCATCAAGACATCTATAAAAACAAGAAGCTTCACTTCTCAAAGGGAATATCCATAATTTTGTACTTTTTATTATCTGTAGTAAAATATTGAGTCTTCGATTTGAATACGACAAGCTTCTCGTTATTGTTATCAGCTGCGCTTTTGTCAACTGGGCTTAATCTGTGTAGGCACGTGCCAGGCCGTCAGCGTGGCCCCCACCACGGTACCGAGCAGGGCGGCCGCACAAGCCCCACTCTCGAACAAGAGCTTCGGTGTGAACACGCCCCATATCATTAAGTGGCGACAGTGTATTGTAGCCGATAATGCACTCATGAACACCTGACGGAGATAAAAAAAGAAGTATAACAATCACTGGATACTTCATAAAACGAGCAAAAATAGAAACTTCAGGTGCAATATGAAACTTCAAATTTATCGAATTTCAATTGGACTAAGAAAGTATTGAATCATCATCAGAATCGGTTGCTCTTGGCAGAGCAGTCGTAGTCATGTGGAGTTCTTGCTTATTAAAGCCTTGACAGATGTTTTCCATAGTTTAGAATCATTGCAATGTAAATTCATTAATTGATTAGGTGAAATGAGAAAATTAAGTAAATGAGGTCATGAAGTTGCAAAATACATTTGTCGATTTTAGGGTATCGGGCCTCAAAAGGAAAAAAGGAATCCTTAAAGAATCATTTTTTACGTGACTGTTCGACATTTTAGATCGTTTTTCTTAGAAACTGATCCACTCGGGTATCAAATTGAAATTAATACCAATTAGGTATTATGTTTTATTTATTTATTGCTTAGATGGGTGGTCGAGCTCACAGCCCACCTGGTGTTAAGTGGTCACTGGAGCCCATATACATCTACAACGTAAATGCGCCATCCACCTTGAGATCTAAGTTCTAGGGTCTCAGTATAGTTATAACGGCTGCCCCACCCTTCAAGGCGAAACGCATTATAGCTTCTTCACAGCAGAAATAGGCAGGGTGGTGGTAGGGTACCTACCCTTGCGAACTCACAAGAGGTCCTACCACCAGTGAAAACCACCAGTTATGTTAAAAAAGAAAAGAAAAATACTTACTCTGACAGCAAAACACAATCCAAACTTGAGGCACAGTGTGAAGACAGCCGCCATCTGTGTCCTGGGACCCGCCGCGGCCGCACCGTTGCGTCCCCACAGCGCGAGCAAGGGAACCGCGGCACCGAACATAAATGGCATACCTACGATTAATGTCCTTAGTTAAATCAAACTAGAACTTCAGAGATATGCCTATTATGAAAAAAAAGGGTGCGTGTACTTATGTACGCGCGTAAGAAGTTATACTTTATTTTTATTAAATTTATTTCTGTTTTTTATTTAAATGAAAAAAAAATCGATCGAATCGAAAACAACATCCTCAAACACGCATATTGGACATCCCTTTTCTTGACATCGTATAAATTCGGTAATTCTCGGTACGGTTCGGAAAGTTCACCTGCGGCTATATTCAGACTCGCCAAGTTACGTCGGTCGTATTGTAATGAGCGATTTAGTGGGCAACTTCATTCTGTTAATTTTGTGTCACGGTGCGCGCGCATCGTAAAATTTCACTCTCATAAAAATTTCATAACGCGCCTAAAGAAGTATAACTTCAAAAACATTTTTAAACATATAAACAAGAAAAGATCTAAGTCAAATCGTAGAAATTGATTAATGTCCTTAATTAAATCAAACTAGAACTTCAGAAGTGCCTATTAAGAAAGTAACAGAAATAAATAAATAAATATAGAAAGTTAGTACGTAGAACTTTTTGTTTCAGAATCCATGTTCCAAATTTTATGGGAAATTTATTTTGAAATTAATCACAAAATTCAAATACACACGAGTGTGTTAAATCAATAAGACAGTGGTCAAATCACATATATTGTTCTCCACAGATATTCAGGTGGTACATTCAATTATCATCGTTGTTTTTGGGGTGGAAAGATGCTGGCAGCCCGAAGGCCTTTCCAGCTTGACCAAAATCGTGCGAGTGACTTAGGGGCTAAGCCCTTTCCTTTCCCCTACATTCCCAGTATAACCTAACGTCTTTTATTGAACCACAGATTACGAATGTTAGGGTCAACTGTAAGCCCCTACCTATTTCTGCAATCGTGCGAGTGACTTAAGGGCTAAGCCCTTTCCTTTCCCTTACATACCCAGTATAACCTAACGTCTTTTATTGAACCACAGATTACGAATGTTAGGGTCAATTGTAAGCCCCTACCTATTTCTGCAGCAATCATTCCGGTTAGAATATAATGCAGCCGGAATTTCAACCGTATATCTATGCGCATAAGGTATTTAGAAAATTACGTTCAAAGTCGCATTAATAATAATAAAACATGCATGTGTACATTTAATTTCATGTTTTCAAGTGCCTAGATTAGATATCAAATTTCGTGTCACATGTATGGCCTAGTCTAATGATAAGATGTCCTTATCTTCTACCGCATTATTTCGTAACGTACCTGCAAAATTGCTTACGTACTTTGAACACACAATGTAAAAATAATGTTGAGAATTATAATTTGGACTGACATATTACCCTATATTGACTAGTTAAGGTATCCGCTTACTTTTTCGCTGTTGATCTTATTCCACTCACCAAATAATTCCAAGGAGACAAGAGCACCGGTAACAAAAGGTCCAATAGGGAGGTAGTTGGGATCACCGGCGTGGAAGGCCGGGGCCCATCGTACGTGGCCCAACGTGGCATGGTGACCCGTTCCATAAAATTGGTAAGACGCCAGCAGAGCCCACATGCACGCCACACTCGAGCTGCATCGAGTTGATAATGCTGAAAATTCACAAATTATTATTTTTCTTTTTTATGATTGAAGAACTACTGGTGGCCCGGAGGCCTTTCCAGTTTCACCAGGACAGGTGGGTGAGCAAAGGCTCAGCAAGGAGGGGTGGGACTTTCTAACACCTGCCCGAGCGCCTCCGAAGGAGACCTAATTACTCAAGAGCAACTGCTTCGCGAATGAATCTACTACCGGATCGGAATCGCGACCCGCTGAGAAGATTCGGGGAGAAATTCGGCGAGTTGATGCAACCTCTTTGTCGAGCTCGACGAGTATGGTTACGGGGGTCCCTAAGCCTGCTCCTAGTGTTAGAGCTGAAGGCGTCTAGTGCAAAGGTTATTGGATCTGATGGATCCGTAAGGACGTGATTAGAAATTATTAGAATGATTCAACTTACAGTAAGAATAGTAACGCTTTTAAAATACTCACAGAATTTAGAGTTCCCATTCTTCATCATGGAAACAACGTTAAGAGCCAAATATCCAGCCAATAGTCCTAAAGCGGCAGACGGAGCAAAAGACGCACCAAGAACGAGGGCGTTGGCAATGAAGAAGAGTAAACTGCACACAATTAACGGCAGTATTGCTCCAAACCTTTCCCTTTTCCAAAGCAAAACGAACATCGATCCGAGTATCAGCCATGATCCACGGGCTAGTTGTCTTGATCTGCTGGGCGAACCTAAAGCCCCCCAACCGAGGGCCCAATGGGCGCATGCAAACAAACCAGCCAAGACGACACCATGACCGCGCCAACCGACATGTCGTCTCGCTATTGCAACCACGGCTGCCATTGAACCTAAAGCCATTACTAACGCTGTCCGGGAAGCCTGTCCAGTTGAGCCAACACCTATTGAAGTCCAACAATCTCCTTGTTCCTCTCTACATCCCCTATACGATCTACTAATTACTAATGTGGCTCCGAAACCCACCCACAAAGTGAAAGCCTTAATCGTCCCAATATTCCAAGCAATCGTGCCCAATACCGATAACGCTAGAAAAGATAATTCAGCTCCTTCTTCTATAATGTAACTATTAGATAATAACACAGCAGCTGAGGCCATTAAGGCGCCTCGGGCAAATCTCTCGTAAATTGGCGATCTCCCTTCATACCATCGTTGTGAAATACCGTCCCAATGCATGATCACCAAAACGCAAGTCAACGCACTAGATATTAAGCCCGTGCTTAAAATAACGCCATGATGAACATCTTCTAACAGTTCAAAATGAAAGACAGTGTAACATACGCTTACGCAAATAGCCATTGATATCAGGCCACAAGAAACGAAAGTGCTTGCAAAAATATTTGGAAGACGTTCTATGGGTATGCCTTCAACAATCAACCAATTAAAAAATATCACCAGAATAAGTAACAAAAGTGCTCTAAGCATTGAAACTGTGTCAAACTCAACCCAAACTTCCCGAAAAACTATACGCACGTTGTCCATTAACAATCTGAAACAAAGAAAGTCCTTTAGCTAAAACGTGCACCCAAACTATAGGATATAATGATACAATAAACATACTCACCTAACATTTGAAACGTAAATAGAGAGATCATCTTCAGTCTTTACCGTTGCAGCTTTCTCTATCTGTTCTCTTGTCGCGTTAATAAGATGCGCCAATCGATCTAAAGATACCTGTTGAGATTCTTCACCGTAACGGACTAAGTATTGAGAAACCTGCAAAGGTTACATTCTTGTAGACTACAAAAAACAGACAATGGTTTCCACCAAACTGTATTAAGAACGTGTTACCTGCTTGAGGCTGTTAGTTAAATGCAGTAGTGTCTCGGCTACGGTCATTTTTGGCAGTACTGGAAACAAAATGTTGCCAAGGGATGGAGCAGGCGGTGGGCGACCAAAAGCAGCACTCATTGTTGGCGCTAAATCAGTCTGTTGAACTTCTCTACCTGTTTGTATATCTGGGCTTTGACCACCAAATCCAGCACCACGATATGCAAACATTGCAGCTGTTCTTTCTGCCTTACTCTCTCCACCATGATCTCCTAGTATAAAATAGACATTAAGTTTAAGAGAGCTTGGATATTTTTTTCTTTTTGCCGAATAAAGGGAAACATTTAACTGCCTACCTGGTGTTATTTATATACCTAACCCCTGACATATACTTTACACATGACCTACTCTTTCCTCTACAAGAAATTCCATTTTTGATTTTGTTTTATTTCTGTCTCTAAGATCTAAAGCATCACATTGTCACATCACATATATACACACAAAGAGTGTACCCCTGCCACCATATCTATTAAGATACGGTTACTTCAAACTTAGTTGAATTAAAAAAAATATATTATATAACTAGCTATTGTTATTAAAAAATTTCAAACGCAATGCATTAGCCAAACCAAAATACCATATGAAAATCAAACTACCTATAACGAATTTTCATTAACAATGACACATACACTAATCTACCTACCCTTGTGGTCCATTTCATGTAAGACTAGAACAATATGAAAATTTACATTTACATATTATTTTAACAACAATGAATTTTAAATTAAGTTAAAAATATAGTTATAATATTTGAGATTATAAAATAAATCACAATTTAAAATTTACTCTGTAAGGAGATAATAGTTTTATAATCATTTAATATGTTTTCATACTTTTTTAATTCAAATACTTGTAATTATTATTGTATAAAATACCTGATTCAGTCATTCCGTGGTCTCCAACAACATACAGGATGACATCTTTAGGTATAATTTCTATGATTTTCTCAATTCTTGCATTAGTTTCATCCAATTTACGTTTCATTTCTGAATGGTTTGGACCATACCTATGACCGGCATGATCAACTCCTAAATAATGTGCTACCAGTAGATCCCAATCGTCTTTTTTGAGTTCATCATATATTTTTGAATCAACTTCTGTTAAATTAAATTCCATTAAGAAGTGGGTTAACATTTGTTTATTACACTATTATGCATGTTTAGACCGCCACTTAGATCTACAAAAACTAAACTAAGTTTAATTCAGAAAGGTTACAAATTCATTAATGGATTTTCATTTAAGTTTTTTTTTCCTACCTAAGCTGATAGCCTTGAGAGACTACGTCAGCGTAACCGTGCCAGTAGGTGACCTCACGGGGCGCAATCCTGACGTTTTGCTAACACAAACCTTAGCAAGAGCCGTGCTTCGCAGGATCTATCACCAGATCGGAAACGCGTCCCACTGAGAAGATTCGGTGAAACACAGTGGGCTGTGTCTGTGGGTTAATTTACTCGCCGAGCCCTTCATCGCAAGCGACGGGTTCAACGAGAACGATGACCAGTGCTAGAGGTACCTAAAAGCACCGTTATTGGATCGGGAGGATCCAAAATCACGTTTAAGATGTAGGGTCGTTGCAGATCTGGGATTAAAAGGTTAAACATTAAACTCAAACATTCATATCTGTAGTGTATTAGTGAGGGTACTTGTTCTCCTTTTAATAAAAGGATTGCTAAGTCCGGATTGCATAAAGACAGTCACACAATGAACTGATTTGTTACTGATGTACCATTGTCATTAATCAGTCTTGTGGAATTGTTTTTAGTCACCTTTTATGATTTCTATACTACAACTTGATAGCATACAGGCAGCATATTATGTACATTCTTTACTTTAAGGAGGGTAAATGTCATCTATCAGGCCATCAGGCAAAGCCTATAAAAGAGAGATTTTAATACCTATGTCTACAGTGTCAAGGTCCCAAGTGTGGAATGAGTACATTGTATGAGCCCGGAACCATCTTCTTGGCATGAGTCTCGACCAAGTGTCATCTCCTAATAATACTGCATGATGTCCAGCATTCACCACCTGTTAATAATGATTTGTGAGCTGAATTTTGTTTTTTCATATTAGATTTCATACAGTTTACTAGAAAAGTACCTGATCTATGATGTTATCTTCTTGCAACTCCATAGCTGCAAAATTAGAGCTTGCATCGATGAAAGTGGGAAGTGAACCAGTTACAAGAGCTTTAACACGTTGAAGAGTGGTTGTTGGTGGGTCTGCGATGAAACGAAACAGGCGCACACAATCGGGGCATAATTCAAGAGTCCTTTGCATCACTGGCAGCCTGTTCTGGTAGGGTAAAGGATTTTCTAGTTTGTCATCATATTCTGTGAAGTCATACCTCAATGCGTCTACTAAAATAAAGACAACTCTTCCATGGGATGGAGCGCATATTAACGGAGAGCCGGTCACGCTTAAAATTTGTTTTATTTTCTCATCCAATGTGCACGATTCTTCAATACTTGAGTTCCCTCTTTCTCGTCCACTGCAGTCGAATGTTTCCAAATGCTGACATTCTGTAATATCACTCATAGTTTTTCGAGAAAGTAGGAAACCATGACCAAACATCAGCACAGCAGACATTATCAAATATGAAAACCATATCAAATAAAATATAAAATTCCATTTTTCTTTCATTATAGAACTTTAAAGGGTAACTAAATTGAGGATTACAAATTAAATTAAGAAAATACAAGCTTAATCATGTTGTCAATTCAACACTAATTCGAATTAATTTATTCTATTCGTAAAATTAAATTGTTTTTAATAAAATTTACGAGTTTGACAATGATTAATGACTTTTGGCAATGTTGACATTGAATTTGACGTTCTTGAGTAGTAATTCCACTTTTCCAAGTGGAAAGGCGAATGTGTTACATCATAAGGCCTAATTTTTTTTTGCATATTTTAATCTCTTTCATGAAGATAATTAATTTGAGGCATTAATTCACTAATACGAAATGAAATGAAATGATATGAGATGAGATCATATGAGTTGACTTTTTCAGTGAGCTTTTTGGAAGATCCATAAAAGCTACTTTTTTAATTTTCCCAAATTTGTGCACTTTCTAAGATAATAACAGTTAATAAACCGCCGTGATTACACCTTTAAACCTGAAAAAAGCACTAAATAGACAAAATTTACAGAACTTCACTCCTTGCGTCCCAGCCATAAAGTCTTGGCGTTCCTAATATCTCTTGGTGGATTTCAACCACAAATCTTCCAAATGTCCCCAAATCATAGATTAATAGAATAGTAAGAAACCATTGGCTTGATCAAATGACTTTAGCAAAAAATCGAGGAGTGAAATCATTAAGTGGTTCTATTTTGTTAATTAATATTTCTGCATATTTATACGTAATATCTAATTATCCGCTAGCGATACGCCCGCTTGAGACCTTTTTAGCACAGTGAAGTGCTCGCTCAATCTCTGGTCCAGGTGCTCGGACACTTTGGTAGTTTTCCAATTACAGCACTAGAGCGCATTATGCGGCATAATGCTCAACGTTGAATGTTCCAACTACAGCAACGATTCATACAATCGAGCACTCTCAAAAGTACTGCTCTCGCGTGATACTCGCAATCGATACCAACTCAGTGACAAACCTCAGTAAGCCTTTATTGTTGAAAAAATTTGTAAGGCTTTCGTTTCGTCGTAGTTTCTTGGAAATAATCAAAATTAATTGAAACTGTGCTAAAAAAATGAATATAAGTATGGATAAAGGTACAAATAATTACTTTTTTTTATATTGCACATTTAAAATGTGAATACACAATTTCATTTTAAAATTCGAATCTATAAACAAATATATTTTACAGGAATATACTTTTGTAAACATTGCAATGGCTTGATCGAATCATCATCATGAACTTAACGCCTTCTGCTGATGCATTTGAAAACTAATTCACGCCCCAATTAAGCTTCAGCATAATTCGGCATTGTGTGCCACTGAGTCGCATTATGCTCTGTAATTGGAAAACTACCTATAAGACTCCATCTTTTTTGGCTGCGATCCCTGGATCGTTTTTTATCTACTTTACCGGTCACTATGAGTCTCTCCGGGTTGTCAGAGATTTTTCTCACTATATGACCAAAATACTGAAGTACTCCGTATAGGCATTGGATAGTCTCTGGTCTTTTCAGTTTTTAGCTCTTTGACCATGGAAGCGTTCATACGGAAAACCCTCAATGATCTACTACCGGTCCCAAATCGCGACTGCCTGAGAAGAACCAACAGAAATTCAGCGGACTGATTTATGGGCTAGCTTTCGATAGGGTCCCCATGTCTGCTCCTAACGTTGAAGCTACTGGAGTCTATTAATGGATCCGATGCATAAATTATGTTCAGACGTGAGTACCTACTATTGACAAGTGTTCAACAGTGTCACGTACTGTCATTGTCTAACTACTTTATAACTTGTCAAGTTTCAATTTCAGCTAACGATAAACTAATAATAACTAATAAGCTAAAGTTTCCGAAGTATAACTAAACTTTTCTTCCGAATTAAAATTAGAATAATATACCGAAAACAGCTAAATTCACCTGTCTGTTTATATTGTGGATTTAATCCGTTAAAAAACAGTATTATAAAAAGATACTAATATCTAACGAACTAAACAAACGAAGTTGTAAACATAACCTACAAGTGTGTTCATACAAGTTGTTCAATGAGAATAACTTGGTTTCGATTTTTCTAAACCTTGAACCGACCGAGTTATATTTTTCTGTAGCATGTGTTGTGCGAATGAAAAATATGCCTTTACCAACAAGAAATAACAAAGAAAACTTTAGATTACTGGACTTGTCTAGTGAAGATGAGTCAGAAGATTTACAGCTAGAAATTATTCCTAGCAGAAAGAAAAAAGCCACAAGGTTGGTATTGAATCTGGCCAATATTAGAAAAATAAATAATTTTTTCTTGTACTTAATACTAATTAAAACAACAAACATGGTTTAAAATACATATCAATAGGAAAATCCAACTATCCATGAAAATAAATTCATATTTCTTCTATATTTTTTACTGAGTTTTGATAATTAAACCTGATTTGATATTAATTTTAGGCGAGAACGTAACCGTGTTACCACCCCACCAACAACCAAGAGTAGCATAAGTACGGACATACAATGTGCATTGCAATGGGCTGTTTGTGGCACCTTACTCCTGTGGCTGGTTATGCTGACTCGACTCTATGCTCAAATGTATGATCAGGTGTCAACTATGAATGGAGATATTGTCAAAGGTATTTAATTTAATTAAAATTCATTCCATTTAATTCTAAATTCTGTGTATACCCATAAATTAAAACAGAAACAAAATATTGACAAGTAGGATTAGATCCCTCTGCTAAATATAGTACAATCTGTGTTAGTAAAAGCTTACATAATAATAATCTTATAAATTTTAATATTATATTAACTAAAATAATTATTGAATATATACATCCCCAAACTCAACGTCAAGCAGGTACAGGGTGACAAGCTACATACCTAGTACTACTTCAGGGGAAAATAAAAATCCATTTCACTCAGCTAAGTAATAATAGTTATAATTATGAAAATGTAGAAAATCAACATCCTATATCACATATTTAGACACTGATCGTAAATTTCATGATTTTTCAGAGATATATTTTTTTAAATGTAATCCATAAAACTTTACTATTGAATGCAGTCACAAATCCAATTATTAATAGTGTGAATTCAGTAAAAAAAAAGTTTTATTAAGTCAAGGTTAAAAGCGCTTTAACCCAAAACTTTGATACCTTATTTAAAAAAGTTCAGCCGTAGACAAGCTATTAAAAATGGCCCATTTTGTTATGATTAACATGAATAGTAAGCATCTAAATTATTTTATAGTTTGTTAGTGAAAAGTGTTCTTTATTTCATTTAATATTCTATTCTATTTCTATTACATTTTCAATCTACACATTTTTCAAAAACGAAATCATTAAAATTTGGAGAAACAGAGAAAGAAAATAATATCATTGCTCAAAGGAGCACAACTGTACTGCAAACTGTAATGACTTGCAAAAATATCAACGTATTTAAAATAAAACAAAAAATACCACCAAACTTAAAAAATATAACAAAACCCTCACCACTGGCAAATAATCTGGAAATATAACTTTGTGTATTAATTAATTTCATACTATATCATTCTAAGTGAAGTCTATATTCTTAGAAATATATCCTTTAAATTAATATATAAGTAGCATTAATATAACGTGATAGCAAAAATACAACCGGAAAGCGGTGATCGTATTTATGTCTTTATGGTACATCCATTTGTCGCCGTATCGCTTATCGTGTAGTACATAATACCTAATGTTTTGATCTATACCTTTTGTAGTAATAAAAATAATCTGTATTATTGCTTACAGCTATTTCACTTGTAGCTATCTTTTTTTTTTTAAATCACTTCGGTTTTCGTTCGTTCGTTTATATCGTACTGCTTTTATTAGCTTCGTTCATTTGCTTAAGTCGTATTGGATCTAACCTTAAAGGTATAGTACCAAATCCTACATGATTATTTAAAAAGATCACCGATTTAGTTCTCCATTCATCTTTTACATGAATAAATTTGCCACTGACCGTAAACTAATAAACAAGACGGCATTCTTTTCCTGCCTAATTTGATGGTCTTGAGAGACCATCTCAGCGTTACCTTAACAACTTGGTGAGCTCACGGGGCTCAAACTCGACGTCCCTAGCAAGAGCAGTGCTTCGTAGAATCTACTGCCGGATCGAAAACGCGACCCACTGAGAAGATCCGGCGAGAAACTCAGTGGGCTGTGTCTATGGGTTAATTCGCTTNACAAGACGGCATTCTTTTCCTGCCTAATTTGATGGTCTTGAGAGACCATCTCAGCGTTACCTTAACAACTTGGTGAGCTCACGGGGCTCAAACTCGACGTCCCTAGCAAGAGCAGTGCTTCGTAGAATCTACTGCCGGATCGAAAACGCGACCCACTGAGAAGATCCGGCGAGAAACTCAGTGGGCTGTGTCTATGGGTTAATTCGCTTGTCGAGCCCTTGATCGCAAGCGACGGGTTCGACGAGGACCCGTCTGCGTGAAGCTGGAATATCCCCTTAGGCTACTGGCGAATAGGTAGGAATAAAAAACAGCGCAGCTATCGTCGGGCACCGGGTGGGTGCACGTCGGCTGTAATTTTTCTTTGTTAGTATTAACCATTTATGTGAAGACTAAATAAAACTTAATTGTGTACAAAGTCATGTACAGTCAAACCTGGATAAGCGAGAGTTGAAGGGAGCACAATCTCTTTCTCGCTTATAGAGGTTTCTCACTAACCCGAGTTTCTAGATAATGCTCCCTCTGAATTTCATTTCGCGATTTTCGGGATTCAAACGCATTCACTATTTTAAGTTTATCACTTAATGACAGTACTTTAATTTTCCGTTTTGACATGATGCAGAACAGAACTTTCCTTCGCAATTGATTAACGATAAACAGAGTAAGTCTGAAAAACAGGGCGGTACACAGGGACACGTGTACATTCGAAAAGAATGCGATAAAATAACAACGTTATTTAGTTCCACGAAATAGAAAAGGTTCAATATTGACGAAAAACAATACAAAAACAATGGAAGGAAGTTCCACAAAAGTTAAGAAT